CCTGGCGGGGCGCGGCGGGGGGGGGGGGGGGGGGGGGGGGACATAATAGATAACAGTATTAACAGCAGACAAAACAAGTCCTTTTTTAAATGTAATGTTTTCAGACTTGGCCTGGGGTGAAGACTAAACAAATGACTTGTTTTGTGTTCCGTAAAATTGAAGCACCCTCTAATCTAGCTACATTACGATGCAGTGGGCTGAAGAAGCCAAAGCCTCACCCCGTCAGCCACCCCCTCCGCAAATGCCCACAGTCTGCTAGTTTGAGAGGTGGGATGATATTTTGGCCCTCGTGTAGGCCAGCAAAGCCCAGGACCAGACGAAAGAGTCTGCTTTAGCCCGGCTGTCTGCAACTTCATACATGAGTGGCTGCTGAAATTAAATTCCGTATGGAGCTCTCAATTCCACACAACAACTGACTGAGACCGAGTGTGGAGTGGAAGGTACCAAAACAAAAACAAATTGTCTCTGATAATGAATGGAGGGAAGAAAAGAGAATGTGGTAGAAAACCCCCATGAAATCCCATTGGACTACATTTCTGTGGTACCTGTAATTTCTCTTTGAATAATATGTATCTCTATATTTCGCTTAAGAAAAACATGCATTCAGAGTTAGCTGAAGCAACACTATACGGTTAGCTGACAAATAAAACGAATCGAGCATTTTAAATATTCGTCAGGTGATATGGGGGTGATGATTGACAGGTCATTTTAGAGGTGTCTTTGCTATTCACTGAACAAACAGCAAACAAACTGAAAAGTGTTTGCATGAAGAATGAGGACCAGAGGTTAACAAAACGATTGTAGCGCAGCTATGTGTTGGAGAGCGGAGGCCATTGGTAATCTATAGTTGGGCACAGCATTTCAGACGACAAATCATTCTTGTATTTCAATGAGCGGCCTGGGCAGCCAATTCACGGCCCACTGGGATGAGGCTTTTTTCTGTTGGTTGACAAAATGGCCTGTCATTCAAGCCATGTGTATAATATAGGCACATTGAACCACTTTTGGTCTAAGTTCAAACGGCTAGACTTGAATTACTGCAAACCAGAAAAGCAACAACAGCACAGCTAGATTATTTACTGTGAGCCTGTCGGCTACAACATCTGCACTCGAGCAATAGAACAGCAATAAAAACATTGCAGCAGCAATGTAACAAATCGTTTTTCACAGTTTCAAGTAATATTATAAACTTCATTTTTTTCATTTATGTTTTCGGAAAATTGTGCATGGTGTTTATGCATGCAAAACTCCACACTGCCAGCAATGGGGTTTCTAATATGACCTGAATTGGATTTAGCATGCTGCTATGCATTAGATTTTAGGCATTTTGGGAGATTGTCTGGTGGTTTCTTACTTGGCCGAGTCAAAAGAGCCTACCTTCTTTATGAAGTTCTGATCCCAAGATCTAGATGCATACCAGTATGCCAGATTCATCCTTCAAATCCTTATTAAGAATCTCTTTAACAAGCTGTACAGTTCAAGATGTAATTCATGTATGTAATACAAAGATGCAGGACAAGTTGCACAACAAAATGTAATACTTAGGCCTAATTACAGACAACAATTACTGTCACTGGAGGTTGCAGAGTATCTGCAGGGTTTCTACTCAACTCCATTATTGTTGTAGCTACATCACACTGCATTTAAATAAAGGCCTAGACAAATCAAAGCGACAAAAATGAACACCACCTCACATTGCCTGCCTTTTAGGCAGAATGTTGTTTTATCAGACCACAGAGACTACATCTATTGGCCAATTAGCATGTATGTTCTGTGCCTGTGTGAGCAGATATAACTCTCCATACCAGCAGGTGACAGTAGTCTGTATTCATCATTCAAAAAGAGAAACCAAAAGACTTACGCTGTATCTGAAATCGAATACTTCCCTACTATACAGTATGCGAAAAACAGTACAACAAAAGAGTAGTATGTCCTAGTATGTCCATTCTGAAGTGTGCATTCGATGGACACTTTACTGTCCCACGAGGACACGGGAGAGCATTTATGAATGGCGGTGAAGTGACGCAACTGACACCGATAGGTCACATGATAGTAACAACATGATGGCTGTAATACGTCCGAATCATTTTCATACTACCCATATTCAATACTATATAGAACATACTTTTTTATCGGTCACAAAGTAAGTTCAAATTAGGGCTGGGCGACAAAACGTTGAAGAAAATTATTGTGATATAATTTTCTTCAATAAAACGATAACAAGAGTTTGATATAATGTTTATGCACCAAAAGCGGAATGAAACTGTGCTACTCATTTGAACCATGCCACACTGACCATTTATCCACTCGGCCCAAAGTTTAAATGCTGCGCAGCGCAAGCTTACTAGAGCAAATGCGTTTTCTCACTGATGAGTCTTGGTCACGCGAGCACTAAACAGCGCTGTGAGATCCAGTGTGAGGCCCTTGAATTCAGCGGAAAACATAAATACCTTGGTGATTGAAACTAGTTTAAAGCCAGATGAAACAGCACTGACAAACTGAAACACTATGCGCAATGATGCAGTTAGAAGGCTTTTCAATCTACAAATCGCGATCATTTATCATGGATTTACTGTAGTAACGGCACCATGGTATTGTGGCAGAAATGTGGGATAATCATAAGAAATGTTATGATATTATTAATGTAAACATGAATTAAATGTATTAAAGGAGTAAGGGAATATGACTTCAGTATTTCTTTTGTGATTAAGCTATAGAGTTTGTGCATTTATACAAAATATCTTTAGACTATTGTTTTTCATACAAATACTTAGAAATTATATATACATTTTTACCATGTTATTGAGGTGCTATATGTGTGGTTTTAACTGTGGTTATCATGTGCTACTATGGAAGACCAGTGGTTAATTTTATTAAAACTCAAAACAGTCAGAATAATTACATTTCACCATATAGAAATGAGGTAATAAAGATTTGAAATTTATGATGATAATTATCAATATCAACTGATATGAAAAATTTTATCGTGATCATTTTTTTGGCCATATCGCCCAACCCTAGTTCAAATTCAAATGTAGTACCTACTCAAACAGAATGTGATTTTGCATGAACCACTAGGGCTGCGGATATATTATGAGAAGCCCTCTTGAATTTGTTTTTTAAATGCTTCCATTACTTCTGTCCGTTTCTTCTCTTTTCACTAAGCTGAACAGCCAATCAGAGTGATCTTTCACTTATGGACTACAGCGCCAATTCAACATGCTCAATAAAAAAATTAAAAAAACCCGCAGACAGGAGTTCGACTAGTGGCAACAGTACCAAAAACTAGGCCAATAGAAGCTCATCAATGACCCTACATTGGCCGATGGACAATCATCAGATTTATGTGTCCATAAAAGTCCTCATGAAATCAAAACTGACCCAATTTTACTTAGTGCACATTACTATTCATGCAGTGAACAATTAATCAGCGCAAGTTAATCCACAATTGTTTGTCTTCATAATCTTTAATCTAAATATGAAAATTTACTTCCCCTCTGGAATGGCATTCCTCTGTTGAGCTTGGGTTGAACAACCTAAACCTCACCCCTCCAACCATCAGTCTACTGGAAGGAGGTGCGCCAAAATCAAGCTCCGCCCTCTGATTTATTCATTCAATATTCTGTTTTACTCTGAAATACATCACAATATTGAAGTAAAGTCGGTCGCAACTTATGGTTCATGAGGACTTTAAAGTGAAGCTCTGCTTTGTTGCATCACCAACAGTCGTTCTTGCATAAGCCGCTGGTAATTGGCAACTCTCATTGAAAACTAATGCCTTCCTGTCGATTTACTACTGTAAATTGCTGTTGGTGTGAACGCACCTTCAGATTCTTGTTGAAAACTGTAAGCATGAGCATTAGTAATGATACTTGCCTTAGCAAACACCACTAATAAGCGCCAAAGCATTTTGGGAAATATGTGCCAATGCAAGCTAATGAATCATTCAAAGAGACTCAACATTATTCAACATCCGTCACTGCATTTTGCAACTATTTAACAGGATGAACTTTTAATCAAAGAGTTTTGGTAAATTTATTAGAAAAACCATTAGGTGTCTAAAGAGGGCGACTGTTTACTGAGAGTACACTTTCATTTCCTTCATGCCCACGCCGCACCTCCTGATTTATTTTTCATTTCGTAACATCACCTGACATTTAATTACTTTGAGACTTGAGACCTGCACTAGGCAGTCAACATCATCACCCTGGGCAAACCTGAATTACAATACAATCTTGTAAAGAGTGGGCACGTATCATAAAGACGAGTGGGGAGTCTATTAAACCATCCTCCTCTGTAAAACTTAATTTACCTAATGGAAGCCCTCTGATACAGCAGCAGAGACTGCGGAGGAAAAGAGGCGGAAACAGGATGGCTGCAGAAAGATTTAGTGTCGTAACACCTCTACTGTCATGCTCAGAGAGACGTCTCATGGAGGGGGAAAATAAGAGTTGTGTTGCTTTTAAGCACACTGGAGAACATGATGTTCTGCTATGCTGAAGCCTGAAGGGCAATCCAATTCACCCAAAAATGCATATTCTGTCATCATTTACAATCCAGTATGACCTTTTATTAGAGAAACAAACATTTTTGGAGGACTACACTTGCAAATTTTTTTAATATAGGTTGATGCTGGGGTTCAACTGAACTGACTTGAGCTGAATAATGACACTATTGTCTTCTGAATAGTTGAACTGAACTTGTTTCATAACTGATCAACTCTACAACACTGACCCTGTTATTAAAGTAAATTGAATCAAAATTAGAATAAAAAA